GGGAGTCAGATATTACAGTGGTTTGGGGTCACATAAAGCCTGTGATTGAATGTCAGCCCAACCACCTGAACCTGCTGTGTTGTTCGGGCCAACTTTCTCTCTGTGAAAACCGCATCCCTATTTAGCAGCGTTTCAAAGAATAATCAAGATAAAATATGTGGTTATGTAGCACAATCCTTGGGTATGGTGGCAGTGGTGGTGGTTGTTGTGTGCTAGCGAGTTAGTGCTGACTCATAGCAACCCCTATATAGGGTTCCTGAGGCTGTGAATCTTTATAGGAGGAGAAAACTTCATCTTCCTCCTGACTTTGTGGTTACCAGGGGTACTAGAACATGGTGGTTGTGGTTAAGTGCTGTTGAGTCAGTTCTGACTCGTAGCGACCCTGTCTAGGTTTGCTGGGGAGCAGCTGGTGGGTTTGAACTGATGATCTTGTTATTTGCAATCCAGCGCTGATCCCACAGCACCATATAAATGCGAAGTATTACTTCTTAAGGAGCGCTGGTAGAGTACTGTTTATGAGTTGGGCTGCTAACTTCAATGTCAGCAGTTGAAAACTAACTGTTTCGCAGTAGAAAGATGAGGCTTTCTTCTCCCATAAAGATTTATGGCCTTGGAAACCCTATGCAAGGTCGCTATGAGTCAGAACCGACTCCACGACATACCACCACCATATTATTTTTAAAATTGACTTGTCTGTCTTCTTTGTAATGGAATTGAGTGGTAATTATTAAAATGTAAGGTTTGGGAAGAGTATGGATGAAGAATTTAAATTTATAAAAATAGTTAAAATGGTAAGACTGAGGAATTTGCACTGACCACCTAAGACAGGCAGCGTCCCTTAAACAATCAATAAATAAGGAGGACTCAGATGCAGACAGCACAGACCCAGTCAGGAGGCCAAGCCCCTGTGGGCCCAAGCGTTGTTGACCATCCAAACCATAGGCTCTGAGGATCAGACTTTAGCTACCTAGTAGACATAGCGAACTGTCCCTCATCTGATTATTCAGTAATGCTTGTTAGTAATCTCATACATGAGCCCTGGATATCCACAGACAAATGTAAAAACCTTCCCTAAAAGCTGAGACTGTAAATTCCAATAAGCCAAGTCCCCCCATATCCACACACAAAAAAAAGCTAAAGAGGATAGAGAGAAACACTGTAAACAGATGATATATGGTGGGGATAATAATCAATGTAATGAAACAAGCTATATGAATGGTTGAATGTAAAGCTGATGATGTGCCCTGTAAACTTTCACTCAATGCAAAATAAAAACATTTAATTAATAATAAAAAAAAAAAAACACAAAGCAATGGAAAAAAAAAGTAGTTAAAAGATGAAGATTGAAAAGGCTTCATGTATTCAGAAGTTGATGAAAACTTAATGAGAGGTAAATTTCTTGAGGAAAATTATTTTGGCTTTGGAGGGAAGGACCAGAAAATCACTGAAGTGAGAAGTGGTTCAGAGGGAGGGAGTGACAAAAAAGGCCATCAGCTTCTAATCTAGCACTAGCCAAAACCTGAACATGTATGTGTGTCAATCATCCCTCTAGGCAAACAGGTAATGTTAGGGTTATTATGCAGTGTAATTCTGTTTATTTTTACCCTACTCTTGATATTATGGTTTCTTAATATTCTAAACTACCAGTGGTTCCGTGGGAGAAAAAGGAGGCAATCTCCTCCCATAAAGATGTACAGCCTTGGAAACCCTGTGCAGAGTCACTATGAGTCGGAACTGACTCCACGGTACCTACCAACAACAACAGTATATTTTTCACTGCCTTAAGATATAGGCAGCACCCCGAGCCAATATATGTGCAAATATGTCAGCTTTGTACTCTTAGAGATTACCACAAGCCATTCCTCAGAAACCCTATACTTACTTGCTATGAGTCGGAACCGACTGGAAGTCACTAACAACAACAGAAGGATAAAGTCTGGCTTTCACATAGTCTATATTGTTTTCATCTTCATTGCTGAAAGTGGGTAGGATCTTGAGCTTATTCATAAAGTTTCCTGTTTTCCTGTTGTTAAGTGCTATTGAGCTGGTTTCGACTCATAGTGACCCTGTATAGAGTTTCTGAGGAAGGACTGGTGAGCTTGAACCCTCGACCTTGTGATTGAAGGCATTTACCCACAGCGCCACACCAGAACAGACTTGTAGCTCGTCCCTAAGTTCAGTTAAATGTGTATGTGTTTGACTTAAGGGTGTGATTTTTATGCCAAGGATTGGGTGTAAAAATTCCCATGTGTTCACAACCCATATCCCTTGCAAAGACAACACATTTAGTAGCTTTGTTCATCTTCAAGGGAAATAGCAATATGAGGCCCAGGAATGGAAAGTTAAAGTTCTGTGGCTGAGGAAGAGGCTTTTCTTCAGCTTGGGGAACTGAGGAAAAGGAACAATTTTTACATTTTTCTTTCAATCTCTACTGCATTTGAATCTCACATATTTTACATTTACTTAGACACTAAATGAAAAGAAAAAAAAAAAGTTAGTACCCTATCCCTAGCTGGAGCAGTGGGGGAAACTGAAGGCTGACTTATCTAGAAGAGCAGTGGCAGCCTTGAGGGGAACCATAGCTGTCCTTCCTACATCCAGTGTGCAATGGAATGGTCAATTCAAACACACTTATAGAAATGTGTAACATAGACTATGCCCTGCTCATGCTTGAATGCATTCATAAAACTAACCTTCAAGCTTACTTAATTCTCCTGATTGTACAGGAATAAAGGCTAATATTCCAGACTGTCATGGTCTCGGGCTGCCATTGCATTGCTGGGTAAGCAGTATCAGCAAAACACGTAACCAAAACAACCCACTCTGATTCTCATAGGGAACCCTGAACTGGTTACACAAAAATTGCATATTTTTATGGTTTCCGGAGGCAAGAGTTGGATACTTCAGCTGAGTCCAAACTGAAACTAATAACAAACTAAAACACAATTTTAGATTGTAACAAAACAAAACGAAACCGCTTGCTATCAAGTGATAATGACTTATAGGCACCCTACAGGACAAAGTAAAAATGCCCCACAGGGTTTTTAAGGCAGCAAGTTTTTACAGTAGACTGCACCTTTCTTCTGCAGAGCTGCTAGTGGAATTAAACAGCTGACTTTACGGTTAAAGCACTTAGCCACTGAGCCACAAGGGGTTCTAGATGGCACCAAGTCACCATATTGCTTGAGACCTGTAATGATCTCTTTAGATAGATCTTTTCTCATCACTCTGATTTCTCACATGTGGATAAGACCAGGAAATTCCCTAAAGTGCTGAAATTGTTTGAAGGCTATTGATATATTTACAAGGCTTCTAGGCATTGGCTTGGTGAAATTTTGCAATATTTGGTGCCAAAATTCAAAATTCTAGGCTTGTGCTGACTTGACAATCTAAAGATAGATTTATCTACTTTGGAAAGTAGGGTCTCACCCCAAAATCCCCACACATTTAGACTTCAAATAAATGGAACAGGATGTTTTATTACGCTTGTCATCTGTCTGCCAGCGTTCTTTCTTTTTTTTAAGAGTTTAAGTTTTACATTCATTCTTTAATTTGATTCTTTAAATACAGGGTGTAGGCATAATTTCCTCTTATAATTTATTAATAAATTTTTAGAAGTCCTTTCCCCTTGCCACAGATTCCTAAAGCCTTTGTCATACTACAGGATTACTGGTTCTGAGTCTCTTGTTTTTGGTGGTGTTGTTAGGTGCCATCAAGTCACTACCAACCCGTAGCGACCTTTTGCACAGCAGAATGAAACACTGCCCAATCCTGGGCCAATGTCACTATTGTTGCCACGTTTGAGTCCATCGATGCTGCCTCTTGGCCATTCCATCTCGTTGGGGATCTTCCTCTTTTTCTCTGACCCCGTCACCTTACCAAACATGATATCCTTCTCCAGTGACTGGTGCCTTCTGACAATATGTCCGAAGTATGAGAGACGAAGTTTGGCCATCCTGGCCTCCAAGGAACACTCTGGCTGCACTTCTTCCAACACAGATCTATTGGTTCTTTTGGCAGCCCATGACATTTTCAGTATTCTCCTCCAACACCATAACTCAAATGCATCAATTCTTCTTATTCACTGTCCAGCTTTCACAGGCATATGAGGTTATTGAAAATACCGTGGCTTGGGTCAGGTGCACCTTAGTCCTCAAGCTGACATTTTTGCTCTTTAGTACTTTGAAAAGATCTTGTGCAGCAGATTTTCCTAATGTAATACGCCATTTATTTCTTATCTGCTGCTTCCATGAATGTTGATAGTTGATCCAAGAAGAATGAAGTCCTTGACAACTTCAATCTTTTCTCTGTTGATAAGAATGTTGTTTATTGGTCCAATGGTGAGGATTTTTGTTTTCTTTACATTGAGATGTAATCCATACTGAAGACTGTGCTCTGATCTTCATCAGTAAATGTTTTAAGTCCTCTTCACTTTCAGCAAGCAAGGTTGTATCATCTGCATATCTCAGGTTGTTAATGAGTCTTCCTCCAATGCTGATGCCACTTTTTCTTCATATAAGCCAGCATCTCGGATTATTTGCTCAGCATACAGATTGAGTAAGTATGGTGAAAGAATACAACCTTGTCGCACACCTTTCTTAATTTTAAACCATTCAGCGTTCCCATGTTCTGTTCGAACAACTGCCTCTTGGTGGTCCATGTACAGATTCCTCATGAGTCCCTAAATGGTACAAAGAATTAAGCATCTCAACTGCTAGTTGAAAGGTGGGTGGTTCAAACCCACCCTGAGGTGCCATGGAAGAGAGACCTGGTGATGTGCTTCTGAAAGGTCCCAGCCTTGAAAACCCTGTGGAGCAGTTCTATCTGCACACATGGGGCCACCATGACTGTGAATTCGTGTGTACGACAGACCGACAGACAGATCCCTTCTCCTTTTAAACTTGGACAAGAGACCATACACAAAGACAAATTATAAAATGAACTTGTAATGAATATATTGCAGCAAAGATATAAAGTAAATGAAGAGCAGAGTCATGGAGTCCTGTTGTGGCAATGTAAGATAAGCGCTGGACTATTAACCAAACAGGGTCGCTATGGGTCGGACCCGACTTGATGGCACTTAACAACAACAACAACAACAACATTAACCAAAAGGTCTTCAATTCAAACCTACCCACCGAAACCCTATACATGGTTGCTATGATTCGAAACCCACTTGACGGCACTATACAACAACAAAGAAACTAACATCTCGATCCAAAATTTATTAAAAGTGGAATTTAGAAAATTAGATCTAAAAGGAAATTTGTTAAAAGTGGAATTTAGAGAATTAGGATTTAGAGAAAGGGTACACATTTGAGAGACCAACAAGGGATCTCCGTGTTGTGTACAGGAAAAGGTACTCTAACCCTCAGTTAGCATGTCTCTGTATAGGTTTTGAAGAACATTATGGAGTAGTGGTTAAGCACTTGGCTGTTAACCAAAAGGTTGGCAGTTCAAACCCACAAGTCACTTCAGGAGAAAGATGTGGCAGTTGGCTACAATAAGGGTTACAGCCTTAGAAACCCAACGGAGGAGTTCTACTGTGTCCTACAGGGCTGCTACAAATTTCAATCAACTGAGTCCTGCTGTGGCACTGTGGGTTAATGCACTGGGCTGCAAAGTTGATTTGAACCACAAGGTTGGTAGTTCAAGCTCACCAGCTTCTCTTCGGAAACCCTATACAGGGTCACTGTGGGTCAGAACTGACTCAACGGCACTTTAACAACAAACAGTAACAGAGTGCATTAGATTGGTATTATCTTAGCTCTGTGGTGAGCTATCTCCTGGCTTTTGAAGTCAAACTACTTAGATTCTAAGAGGAATTTAAGATATGATCTTGCCCCCATTACTGAATACCACTGTGCTTACCTTAATCTGAAAACATGTGTCAGGCCACACATAAGGCAGATCCATAAGGCCTATTTATATACTCCATGTCCACTATGCATTCTTCTGGTTGCATTTGAGCTCTTTTTCATGTAGATATGTTTTGGTGGGCGACACACTGATTAGCAGATACCAGCATATATAATCTACTTGATAGTTTGTATTCTCACAATCAGATATTAAATTGGCACTTTTCTTTTTGTCACTGTGAGCTTCGTTAACAAACTCTTTCCTGAGTGGTGGTGGTTGTTTGTTAAGTGCCATCAAATCAATTCCAACCCAGAGCATCCCTGTATAGGGTTTCCTAGGAGTAGCTGCTGAGTTTGAACCATCGACCTTGCAGTTCAAACGGCTTTGCAGTCTGGCGCATCATATTTGTGACTCTGTAAGGTTAAGGGCCACCCCTGGACGGTGGCAATTCCAACAAAATGATGCCATTAGTAAAGGGCCCGCTGGCTTCCTGAGCATTCCCTTTCTTCACTGCAAATGCTCTTTGCTATTTGACTTCCAACCCAAAAATGATAACCATCTTAGTACTAGTATCTTCTTTTGCTATTTAGAAAATGTTGGGAATAGTCCAGAAAAATAATGTTCTCCATCCTACTTTGGTGAGTAACAACTGGGGTTTTAAAACTTTGTAAATGACCATCTAAGGTAAAGTTATTGGTCTCTCCCCTTCTGGAGCAATAAAGAGTGAAGAAAATCAAAGATGCAGGTAAACAGGTAGTACAGCAGACTAATGGACCATGTGAACCCCACACTTCATGACTCTAAGACCAGAAGAGCTTTACAGTGCCCCGGTACTACTGCTGACCTGCTGGGAAGGGACTATAATAGGGCATGCCAGATGGAGTGGGAGAAAACTGTGGAACAAAATTCTCAAAATCATGAAGACCAGGCCAACTGTCGGATGGAGACGGTGGAACCCCTGAGATTAGACTTTGAGACATCCTTCAGACCTAGACCTGAACCCATCCCTGTGGCTCAGCTTTCCAAATGATAGGTCTATAAGGTGAACAGTAACATGAAGGGGATGCATATGTGATCAAAAGGGCAGAATTTGCCCAGAGATAAAGCTAAGGAGACAGAAAGAGTAAGAAAGAAGGGCAGATAGAAACAGTAACGCTAAACCCAGGGAGGAAGTAGGAACAGTGCTGTTATGTTATGAAGATTGCAATCAGTGTCACAAAACAAAATGTCTGTAAATTACTGAATGGAAAATAACAGCAAAAAGGAAAGCCCTATGGAGCAGTTGTGCTCTAACACATACCAATCTCCATGAGTCAAAATCGACTTCATGTATGATATGAAACATGAGTGAAAACATATATTTGAATTGAAAAATAAATGTTGAGAAGAAAATGAATATCACCAAGTACTAATTCAAGTTGGAAATATATTCTGCTCAGTTATAGAAATGACTCATATAAACATGAGTAAAGAAAACTAGAGGCCTGGTGTGGCATTGTGGGACAAAGTAATGAACCCCAAGATTGGTTTGAACCAAAAGGTTGGCAGTTCAAACTAACCAGCTGATCTTTGGAAAGAGTCATACAGGGTCACTATGAGTCGGAACTGACTCAACAGCACATAACAACAACAAAGAAAAATGCAGTACATTATTAAAGATTGCCGGTAAATTTACTAATCCATGCTATAGTGGGCTACGTGTTGGGCACAAATCATCAAACAACTTCAGAAGTTCCTGGACCAACGCAGTTATAATCAAAATTTCACAGTAGAATTTTTCACTGGTTTTATGTTAACCAAGATTCTTGTAGATTTGTTAAGTATACTTTTATTTGCTATAGTGTTTTAGGCATTTAGATTTTCAGAAACTAGTATTTAAAGTCCTTTCATGTAAGATAATTCTTGTAATATTCATATATTCCCAGTAATGCACTAAGATGGTTTCCCCCAGTTATCGGCTACTGAAAGTAAGGGATTTGTGTACTATTGAGCAATTGTTTAATGACTACCAGTCCAGTGACTGGGGAAAGTTACATCCATAAATTATTATTAGCATTCACTCAAAGCAACAGAATTCACAGGATAATCTGGAACCTGGTGTCATCTGCTTTAATTATGCCATGGTGTGGTGCTGCGGGTTAATGCTCTGGACTGCAAAGAGGTCGGTTTGAACTTTAAGGTCAGTGGTTCAGACTCACCAGCTGCTTCTCAGAAACTCTATACATGGCCGTTATAGGTCGGAACCGACTCAACAGCACTTAACAACAACAAGAAAAAGGTAATTTCTAAGGGGCATTAGTGGATCAGTGATCAAAGTCTTACTTTCCATGCTGGAGACTGGCCTTCAGTTCCCAGAAAGCGTGCTTCATGCGTAGCCACTGCACATCTGTCAGTGGAGACATGCGTGTTGCAATGAGGCTCAACAGAGTTTAGCAGTTTATAGACCAAGATGGCTTAGGAAGAAAGACTTGGTGATCAACTTCTGGAAATCAACTCATGAAAACCCAATGGATCATAATAGTCCAATCTGTAGCTGATCAGGCAGCATTTCGTTTTTGTGTGTGAGAGGTGACCCTGAGTTCGGGCCAACTTGAGTGGCAGCTAGCAATAAGAAAAAAGGTCATTTCTAGCCCAGAGACTAGTCCAGATCCATGTAAATGTCTTTCCGTGTGTTTGGGCAGTGCTGGGATGGATGGAGGTGGGTCATAGAACAATTGTAGAGTCCTATTCTGGATCTGGCACAGAGCTCCTCCGAAGACTTGGGAGCTTGGACCATCCTAGCACTTTTGGGTTTTGTTAGTTGCAGGATACTAATGCATAAGTGGGAAGTGTGGTCTCCTGTAGGCTGCAGGGAGCTGGGGAAGTTTTCTTTATTTTAATGTGATCTTACATATTTTTAAACCAAATCAGCCTTAGTGGCAGGGAGGATCCTATATGATGTTGTTGTTATTAGGTGCCATCGAGTCGATACCGATCCATAGCGACCTTATGTACAGCAGAACAAAACACTGCCCGATTCTGGGACAACCTCACTTCTGTTGCCACACTTGAGTTCATCGATGCTGCCACTTGGTCAATCCATCTTGTTGTGCGTCTTCCTGTTTTTCTCTGATCCTCCACCTTACCAAGCATGATATCCTTTTCCAGCGACTGGTCCCTCCTGACAATATGTCTGAAGTATGAGAGACAAAGTTTGGCCATCTTGATCTCCAAGGAGCACTCTGGCTACACTTCTTCCAACATGGATCTATTGGTTCTTTTGGCAGCCCATGGCACTTTCAATATTCTCCTCCAACACCATATATGATAGGTTTTCTGTAATAACCCATGGGACTGGTAATGGTTGTGGGAAGGAGAGGCCAGATCCCACTCAGGAGAGATCTCTCGAGTAGACTCTCTGGCATTTGTTGACCACTTCATTGTGAGGAAGTGAAGGTGTGGGAGGAAAGAATGATGACAGTGAACACATGATCATCCTTAGCCTAAAAAAAGAGTGTCTCTCTTTCACATTCTTTTTCTTGCTTTATGCCATTCCTAAAAATATCCTTTTTATCTTGACATATGGTTTGACCTTAAAATTGTACTGATCTAATCTAACCAGGAAATCCTCAAGGGATGCCCAGGTTTTTTTTCCCCTGAAGTGATTTTCATTTAAATAAAAGAACCATTTAAATGATATTGCAAAATCACAATGTGTCTTATTTACTGCTTTTGACTATGATGCATTTAAAGTTTTATTGTGAAAACTTGAAAAATGAGGGTTGGGTATATCTAGTTTTTCCCCTCCTCAATTTTCCTTTTTGTCAGTGCTGTCTGAGCCAATAACCTTTCCTGATCCTCTGGCCCTTGGACCTCTCAGCAGGTTTGGCCTCTGGCTCTCCATGTGTCAGGATGTTAGGTATGGTTGAGGAAGACAAGTTTATAGGCAAATAATAGTAATGTGCTGTGGAGGCCCTTGGTGGTACAGATGGTTTGCGCTCACTATTGTGGCACTGAGGAGCACTGGCAGCATGGTAGGTTAGGATGCTGAAGGAAGATGATGAAGAGGGAAAACTTTTCCTTAAAGCCTCCTCAACTGTGAGAATGAGTGGGTTTGCTGAAACTGACCACTTGTGGCATTTCTGTTACAGCAACACTAGGAGACT